ACCGGGTTCGTCTACTCTTTCCCAGGGTACCCAGTAAGTTTTCAAATATATAGATCTTCATCATCCCAACAATTATCAATCACATATCAATGCCTCATTACATATTTATATATTAACCTAAAAGACATCTAAGAAAGCAATACGGTTTATGATAACCAAGTAACTAAATAAACAAATAAACAATGCAGGGAGAACCAAATAAACCAGATAACCGAGGACACAGTTCAAACTAGCAATTTAATAAACATAATTTAATAGCAAACAGTTTAAGCAATACAGAAGAAAATGAAGAATAAACTACGATAATCGTACACTGACCACTTCCGGCACTACCACTGACCTGTAATTATTATTATGATTTTTTAATTTTTACAAAACACAAAATTATTGATTTTTAAGGCTCAATTTACCGTAACAGAGAATATGATGAGGAATTCTTACCTAAATCAGTGTGTTGAAATGATGTACTACCCACTACGTCTCCTTACGAGTCTAGGTTTTCTAAATTTTTTCAGCATAAATCAAAATACTCGTCACATACTAAAAAATATACCAAAAACCTAAAGTTGGTATTGAAAACCCTTTTCGGCCAATTTTAAGATTCTGGCACAGCGGTGCTATCGTGCTCTAACGCCGACTGCGCCTTCAACAGTGGCAGTTCGTCTCGACCTGGTCAATTTTGACCGATTTTGGCTGGTTTTACACGTATTCCTATGAAAAAAAATACGTTAGGAAGCCTCAATTGGCCAGAAAAATCAAAAAATCGAACCTACTGGCGAAGAGGTCTCCGGGTGCAGCGGATCTGCCAGTTCTTATTCACGATTGGGGTTTCTTCTTCTGCTAACATGCACAAAAATGGACAATGAACACAATGATCAAAGAATCATATGAAACAGAAAACGGGAAGGAGGGTCATCAAAGAGGGTTTAGGGTTTTGGCCGCTCTGGCTCTGTCAAACTTTACCCACGATTTTTTGCTCACCCGCCACGCCTTTTGCTCTGATATGGCCGCATAGAGGCTCAAAATTGAATTCTAAGAAGGGATGAAAAAATTTTACCTTTTTTGGCGGTCCGCAATGGCTCCGGTGCGGCGGCAACCGGTAGCCGGTCTCCTTCTTTAGCATTTAGTTCTTCTTCTCCAGCGAGAGCAGGTGCGGCTAGGGTTAGGGTTCCCTGGGATGCGATGTTTAAATACCTATCATGTGTCGATCTGGACTGTCCGTTTGGGGATACGTAGTCCTCTCTTGTTCGTCGGATCTATCTTATTCAGATAATGAATATGGACTGCGATTGGATTAAATCTGACCGTTCGATGGCGTCTAAAGAGAGAACACATTTGGACCGTTCATGCGTGCATGATGAGATCTGGACCATTGGATCGCCGAACAATTGGATCGCTTGCATGGCTTCCCGCGTGGTGCCGATGTCAGTGAGGTTGTCATGCGCCATGCTCTGATTCGCTGGGGTTGATGACCGGGCTGTCCCACGTGGTCGAATTTTTTTTTTTTTTACAATTTAACTCTGTGTTTTCAAATTTTTTTAAAAAAATACCCATCATATTCAAATTTTACTTATTTTTTTCAAAATTGCTTTCAATTTTATATATAATTTATTTTTTCTCAAAAATTTAATAAAATTAAATTAATTATTTTTATAATTGTTTTATGAATACAAAATTCATTCCAAGATGATTTTCGAGCCCGGACATTATACTTTGTACCTCAAAAAATTACTGGATTAATAATAATTGAACCTGGGCGTTACGTACAATATATTATATATTCATCTTTTAATATTTAATTAATTAATTTTTTATTATTATCATCAGATTTTTGGTATAATGAGATTTGTATATATAACATATATATATATATATATATAGTTTAAGTAAAATAATTTTCACCTTATCTTCTGTATACATATTGAAAATATGATTTTTTTTATTCATAATTTAAATATTAATTTTATGATGAGAGATTAAGATTTATAAACTTTGTTAATAACTATTATTATTATGATTAAAACCTAAGTATTAAACCCTAATTACTATTATTACTATAGAGATTAATAATATTTTACCGTAAAATTATTCGTTTAATAGCAAAGCTCATGTGCATTTGTCTTAAACGTAATACTTTTTATACGAATAAAAATAGTACGTAGGATTTTTTAACTATTATGGTTACTCCAGTTATGGAATTTAATTGCTATAGAATGTTTTTTTCGTATAGAAATAAAATAAGTTTGTTAAGACTTAGTCGAATTTAGTTATTACAACCTCACAAATACACTGGTGAATTAAGTTATCGTTCTCACTGAATCAAGTATTATAAGTTAACTACTGTTTTGTTATAATACACTCACAAAATGACGAGTTCTTAAACTTAAAATTTAATTTACTATAATATTTATTAACCATTTATTAATTTGATAGTTTATATTTTTCTTCTTATATAAGTGATACTGTATCCAAACTATATGTTTTTTACGTCATTATTATGATATTGTGTTATAATTGTATAAGCGGTTATGGGTTAAAGTTGTGTTTCTATATACACATAATTACAACATATATGTATTATGATAGTATATTATGTAGTTGTATAACCTAAATGTGCAAGGTATTAGTTCTCACACATTCTAACCAAAAAATTCAGGTTAAGAGCAATATAAGAATAAATAGTTGTATGAATTTTCTCCGATCCGCATAATTTATAGTGTTATAGAGATAAGAGTTAGAATTAGAGAATGTACTGAACAAAATAAGTTATAGAACTTATTACCACATAAGTTAATGTACGTGTAGAATATTGATCTTTCATAAAATAATTTAAGTAATGAATGTAGAATTGTATATGAGGTTCGTATAAAGTTTGCACCATACGGTAGATGTAACGAGTACAGAGATTTGGTCAGTTGATGACTCATAATTTTATGTGTTTATCGGAATCGTTGTTAATGAGAGATCGAAACTTAAATAAAAGTATAAATAGAATTCAATGGTCAGTTTAAATATCTACATAAGTTTCTTACATTATAAAATTATAACTGTCGGATATTGAATTTGTCTAGCTTTCGAATATCGTAATGTTATATAATTATTATATTATTTTGGTGCTAGATAGTTGTATATTGTAAAAAAAATAAGTAACAATTTTGTAATTAAACTAAAAAAAAAATTATAATTCTATATAATTAATAATTATTGTGTATGTAATTTTTAACTCTTGTAATTAAATTATCATTTGTCTTGTCCAAAAATAATAATTTTTTTAATAAAAAAAAACACTGAAAATAAGGTGTTAAATTCAGGAGTTGCATAGAAAAATGTTTTCTTCTGTCTCGTTCGGAAATATCCGAATAATGGAGTTGACCGGAGGGAGAAAAAATTAGTCTGGATTTTTGAATATAATAAAATAAATATGATCTAATTATTGAAATTATTATATAATTTATTTTTTTCCATAATAATAATTTTTTTTTCAAATTTTAATGTAATTAATTAATTAATTTCTACATATAAATATTCTTAGCTTTAAGTTTTGAAAATTCATGTAATAAATTTTATTACAATTTAATATATAAAGAGTTTTAAGATAAAAATAAAAATTCTCTTTAAGATTAAGATATGTATAATTATTAATAATAATTTAGAGGAATTGAAAAAAAAAATTGAATATTGTTTAATTGATTTATTATATTAAAATACCATATATATATATATTTATCACTATTATGTCATTTTAACAATAAATATATAAATAAAAATATTTTTCTTTAAAAATCATATTTTTAAAAATTATAACTATTAAATTAATTGACACACAAATATTTCCTTATGTATAAAATTCCATATTCGATCTTGTTATGATGTAATAATATTTTTTTTTTATGAATTTCAAGTTTCACACAAGAATTAATTTAATTTAATTAAAAATATCTTGATAACTAAAATTTTATATAAAAAAATTGACATCTTGTTATATATATAACACGAGGTATTCTAAAAATAAAACAAGTATTAGGAGTACGTTCGATTGATTCAGTATCTCTAAATTTTAAAAAGAGAGAGTTGAGTATTAGAACAAACGTATAATAAAAATTCTTAAAATTTCTTAAAAATTTTTTATCGGTGCTGAACTAATTATAATTTAAAATCGTATTTTTTTAATTAATAAGATTCAAAGGATTTAATGATTTTATTTTATAAGATTTTAAATTTTAATTTTTTTTATTTAGCGCCAAAATTTTGTTAACGCGTTAAAATTAAATTAATTTCTTATTCGATCAAAATAAAGATATCGAACCTAAAATTTAACTTAAAATCAATAATTATTTACCATATCTACTATTTCTATTGAAGTTAATTTTGTAATAATAAAAATAATATATATATATATATAATGGTAAATTAATTAAAAATATTTACTAATTAATTTAGACACCAAATTTTCTAATAAAATATATATTTAAAAAATAGAAATTAAAAAATAAAAATAAAAATAAAAACTGAAAACGGGCATGTAAAAAGTAAAGGAGGTTGGATTTGCTAAACGTGAGAAGTTTTGTCGTTTTGTGCTTTTCATTTTCTTTTTTATTTTTTATTTTATAATTTTAATTTAATTTTTCTTACATTAATTACTCCTCCTCTCTCTTTTCTCTTATATTTATTACCACCAGCTTTATACGTATATATGCAGCGTATTTATATATATATATATATATATATGCATCGTCAAGAAAAAGTTTACCCCAGCGGTCTTCCACCCTCTCTCCTCCCCTCATGCTCTCTCTAAAGGTTCGTCACTCCTTTATCTCGACATCTTAAACCTGAAACTCTCTCTCTCTCTCTGAAAGTCGTTGTATGTTTTCAGTGTTGACTTTTGAGCTTAGTGGCAAAGACCCGTCTCTGATTTTCCCTGGTAAACTTGTTTCCGATCATTTTTCCCATGTTTTCATTTCATCTCAGCTTTATATGTATATAGCTATATATATTATCCCATATTTTGTCTGGTCTGTGTTTTTTTTGTGTAATCGATCTGCCTTATCTTTGATTTTTGGCTGTCGATTTTATGTGTTTTTCCAAGTTTTAGGACATGGGTTTTGATTAATTCAAAGAGAAGATTGAGGTTTATGGTTGTTCCTGATCCTGTCAGCTTGAGATCAGTTCCTTTTTTCCTCTGGAAAATTTTTGTGTTCTTCTCTAGTGATTTTACGGGCAAGTTGACTTCTAGGTGAGAGATCTAGGGGTTAAAATTGTTTTTGATGTCTGATTGTTTCAGTTGAGAATCTATCTGTTGTTAATTAATTTTTCTTGTTGTCTTCTTATTGCTTAGTGATTTCAGTATATCCTGCTTACGTGCTACTTGAGGATTATTTTGATCTATTTAATGTTTTTAGGAAATTTTTTGATTTATAAAGATTTTGAAGGTGTTTATTGATGGTTGATAAGGATTAATGTTTTTTTGTTGGAAGAATTATGGGAAAATTTCAGTCAATCTCTAAGATCTAATTTTCTTTACATATGAGGAGAAGAATGGATGATTTTCCCATGAGTACTTTGTTTTTTGGATTTCTATTGAATTAAACTTTTTGATTTTTGATGGGATGATGACTTTGTTGGTATCTGACCTTTTGATGTTCTTAAATCTAGACCTTATTCTAGGATTTTCAGTCATTTGATTCAGTTATTTGACTTAAAATTATGTGTTCTTAATTATATTTTCAGGTAGAAGGATATATCGATTTCAATCTTCTGCAAGTTGAATTTTCTGACTATTCTAACGAATAGTCAAAGGAAAGAAGGGAATTCGAAGCTTGCTGGTTGAAATTTGTGTCAGATTTTGTTGAATTCCGGGTTGATTTGGTGTTGATCGGGAATAAAAAATGATGATGTTTGATGATATGGGACCTTGTGGTGATATGGACTTCTTTTGTGCTCCTTTTTCTGGAGGAGATGTTCCTGCCCCTCAAACCGAGCCAGAGGCCACGGTGGAGGATGATTACACCGATGAAGAGATTGATGTGGACGAGCTTGAGAGGAGGATGTGGAGGGACAAAATGCGCCTTAAACGGCTCAAGGAGCAGAGTAAGAGTAAGGAGGGTAGTGATGTTGCCAAGCAGCGTCAGTCCCAAGAGCAGGCTAGGAGGAAGAAGATGTCCCGGGCTCAAGATGGGATCTTGAAATACATGCTTAAGATGATGGAAGTTTGCAAAGCTCAAGGTTTTGTTTATGGAATTATCCCAGAGAAGGGCAAGCCTGTAACAGGCGCATCTGACAATCTTCGAGAATGGTGGAAGGACAAAGTCAGGTTTGATCGAAATGGTCCTGCTGCCATAGCCAAGTACCAAGCTGAAAATTCTATTCCTGGCAAGAACGAAGGATCCAATCCAATTGGACCTACCCCGCACACGTTACAGGAGCTTCAAGATACCACTCTTGGTTCACTTTTATCTGCACTAATGCAACACTGTGATCCTCCTCAGAGGCGATTTCCATTGGAGAAAGGTGTTCCCCCTCCGTGGTGGCCAACTGGGAAGGAGGAATGGTGGCCTCAACTAGGTTTGCCTAAGGATCAAGGTCCTCCACCTTACAAGAAACCCCATGACTTGAAGAAGGCGTGGAAGGTTGGTGTCCTCACCGCAGTAATTAAGCATATGTCTCCAGACATTGCCAAGATTCGGAAGCTTGTAAGGCAGTCGAAGTGCTTGCAGGACAAGATGACAGCGAAAGAGAGTGCTACATGGCTTGCCATCATCAACCAGGAGGAGGCCTTGGCCCGGGAGCTCTACCCAGATTCCTGTCCCCCTCTGTCCTCAAATGGAGGAAGTGGGTCTTTGGTCATTAATGATTGTAGTGAGTTTGATGTTGAAGGTGCTGAAGATGAGCCAAACTTTGATGTGCAAGAGCGCAAACCTGAGAAACTCAATCCACCTAACTTGGGAGTGGAGAGAATGCGGGCAATTCAGCAACAGCCACCTTTTCCAATCCGAGGAGAAGTTATCTCAAACTTGGATTTCATTCGCAAGCGGAAGCCCTCAAATGACCTAAACATGATGATGGATCAGAAGATCTATACATGTGAGCACACTCAATGTCCATATAGTGAACTCCGCTTGGGTTTTCATGACAGGACTTCGAGGGATAACCACCAATTGAGTTGTCCATATAGAGGCAGTTCTTTGGAGTTTGGATCCTCAAACTTTCATGTTAGTGAAGTAAAACCGGTCATCTTTCCTCAACAGTTTGTCCGACCTAAGCAAGCTAACTCAGTCCAGCCATCTATTGATCTATCTGGACTTGGCGTACCAGAAGATGGGCAAAAGATGATTGGTGAGCTCATGTCAATCTACGACCACAATGTTCAAGGAAACAAGAATTTAAACCAGGGTAACCACTCAGTTACTGAGGCTCAAACTTTTCTTCAGCCAAAAATTCAGCATCACCAGGACCAATACTTCCATGGGCAAGGAGGAGTCATGGAGGGAAACTTCTTTGAAGAATCCAACGTACCCGATAACCATCAAATGTTTTCACAAAACGATAATCAATTAGAACGTCTTAAGGTTATGAACTCTCCATTTGAGGCCAACCATAATAACCACAATTTCCAGCTGATGTTTGGGTCTCCCTTTGATTTGGCTTCATTCGATTACAAAGAGGACCTACAAGCAGTAGGGATGGACACACTGCCGAAACAGCAGGATGTTTCGATCTGGTTCCAGTAACTACTTCAATGAAGGTTCTTGTTTTTGGATGGTTCTTTTTAACTTAAATATCAGAAGCAGCTTTCATATATCCTCTTGGATGCTTTCTTTCATGTCATATCTCTCTGTCTACTGTTACTACTACAAACTACTAAAAGCTTCCATGGCAGGACTTGACCTTGGTACGGCTGTGACCTGCAAAAGTTTCAGAAGCTAAATATTGTTGTCAGTTACTGTAATTTTTGTCTGTTGGGTTTTTTTTTTTTTTTTTTCTTTTTCACTTGTAGCTGTAGAATTTAGCTTTAGCAGGAAGGAGCTGAAATGGGATGAAGAATAAGAAGTTGATATGATCCCATGATAAAGCCTGCCCGCTAAATCAATTATTGATGACTTTTTTTTTGTGACATAAATAAGTTAAGGTTTGTAATTTTCTATCTTGTTCTTTCTCTGTGCTTGTCATTTTTTCTCCTCTTCTTTAACTTGTATTATCTTCAAAACAGCTCTCTGTAATATAATTT